GGAGACAACAACATGCACAAAAACAAGACAGAGCAAAACCAAGCAACAGTGTACAACAAAACAGCAACATCAGGCCACTGAAATATACCAAGAAAGAAAAGCTTGTAATTAGTTGAAGGATCGCCGGCCTTTGCCCTCATACTTCTTACTGTATCACACTATAAAGCATAAGTGAGGGCTTCAAGAAGTTCGTGGAAACAATTCCATTATCTTTTCATTCCATTTTCCCCTGATCCTCTTGACAACGTATAATGTTAGGATGGTGGGGCATTTTGTTTTGTGTGTCATAGGGATTCATCAGTATCCATCTTACTGTGATTCCATAATAGAATGTCCTTGCTCTTCGGCAAGACAAGTTGAAGTATTTAGGGATGAAGCTCATTATATCTAACTTATCCTCATGGTTCTGTAATCATAATAATGTGTGTGTGTGTGTGTGTGTGTGTGTGTGTGTGTGTATGTGTGTTAGAGAAAAAGCGAGTGTGGCCAGTGTTTGGCAGGGGTATATGAGTATTCCTTGTGTGATTTTTGCAACGTTTCTATGGATTTGAAACTTTTTATGATAGAAAGTTTAAAAAACCAATTGATCAGTAGGTTCAGGCATGGTAAGCCTCACGTATCTGCTAGAAATAAGTTGTTGTTTTCCGGTCTCAGTCCGGGCTTAGCTCACACTCCATCATCTGGTTTCCAAAACTCAGATTGCGTACTAGTCACGTCATCACTGACCAGAGCTCCAGTACACTCGCAGAGGCGCCCCTAAAGCTCCCCTCTCTCTACCACGTGTCCTCAAACTGCGGCCCGCGGGCCACATGCGGCCCGCCAAGGACATTTATCCGGCCCACCAGATGTTTTTGCCCCGTTTGTTTTTTAACTTCAAAATAAGATATGTGCAGTGTGCATAGGAATTTGTTGTTGTTTTTTTAACTATAGTCCGGCCTTCCAACAGGTCTGAGGGACAGTGAACTGGCCCCGTTTAAAAAGTTTGAGGACCCCTGCCTAACCTAACCGGCTACCCCTCACCTGCCCCATGCCTGATCCCCCTGCCCCAAATCGTCTAAAGTGTCTCATAATCATCTCAGGCTCCAGGCAAGCGGCACCACCCACAACGGGTTGGATCATATAAGAAAAATATCGAAGCCTCGTGTAGGGGCTGGATGGGGGATTGCGAAGCACCTCAACCCTACTCCACCAGCTGCCTCCCACCTGGGCCACCCATCTCTTTATGTTTTATTAAAAAAAAGAAATATGTTTTATCAACCTTCCTCCTAATAGTTTGCCTAGCTTCATTATTTCATTGGGAGTTGCAAAATTAAGTATATAAGAATCTCATCTGGTTTAGTGTTTGAAAATAACAAAATGTTTTCACTAGAATCATTCTATTAAGAATAATGCCCTAAGACCATTCTTTGTGCACCTGATAAACTCAGAAGGCAAGGAAGATTTTTTTCCCCCAACAGTTTTATTTCCATATAATTCACACATCATACAATTCAGTAGGTCAATCAAGAAGAGTTGTACAATCATCAGCACAATCAGTTTTAAAATATTCTCTTTATTTTTCTATTCATCGTTATTAGTTCCCCATTCCCCACCCAATCCTCCTTCCCCTGCCATTCCCGCAAAGAACCATCAATCTAGTTACTGCCTCTCTAGATTTACAGGCAAGTAAGAATTCTTATTTCAGCTTTCTACATTTGCATCAACCAGGGTGAGAGGGTTTATAAAGGCTCATGCTGGGTTGTTGTTGTTTTCTAAAATATGGCCTATGCAATTAACTTTGCCAGAATCACATCATAAACCGGACTTTTACGGCTTGAACCAAACAGTCACAACTCCATTCTTGAAGGGTTTCAAACTGGCTGTCACATAGTCCTATCAGAGTACAAATGATCTTTTTGTGACCAGAGACATGGAGTCTAAACTCATAACTTTCGGAAGGTCTACACTTCAGAGCATTTTCTCTCTTTATTATTAGTTTTCCTCCTACAGTTTTTATGTGTGGCAGTGCATTTTGAAGCTCGGGAGAGATGGGGGAGGGGCATCCCCAAGGGCTGTAGTTTCTAAATTTAAAAATTTTGAGTCGCTCCAGTTCATCCTAAGAAGGTTAATAGTCGGCAATGGAGCACTCCAAAATTGACTTGAAGCAGAAAAGTGATCCCGAGGAAACGATTACTCCTCTGTGGGTGTGAGAGAGGGGAAGCGGGCTGTCGTAAGCTAATTGACCATCAAGACTTGCCATCCTGTAACACAGCCTTACATTTTTGGCTCCGGCTGAGTTGTTTTTATGTTTTACTACAAGTACTTAAATCGGAAGTTCCTATGTGAAAGCTTAGTCCTAATGTTGTAACACACACTCCATTCGTTTTCCTGCAGGACCGCCCAGCCATGCAGCTGTACCAACCCGGCGCCCGGAGCCGAAATCGCCTCTTCATCCCTGATGATGGCACCAAACCTGCAGAGCCAGCAGTAGAAAAAAAGCAGGAAAGTGGTATTAGCCATAGAAAAGAAGGGGGAGACGAGTGAGATGAGTCCTGATGGCCTTCGGTGTCCTGACTGTGTGGGCCGTCAAAGAGCAGGAATTAAGCTATCCAGAAGTGCCTTCAGGGCAAAGGAATAGAGAGAAAGGGGGTCGCTGTGCTGGTGGGGTACATTGAAGAGGAGTATGTTTTGCGTCAAAGCAAGAATCCGATTGCAGGTTCAGATTTTTGAAGTACCATTTTGTTGTTTATGCTGTTTCTACAAATCCATTTCCAAGCCGTGGGCAAGGCGGAGGGGAGGTGCCATGCTGGTGCACTTTGCAGGGAGGACTTCATGGTGTCTGACCCAAGCGCAAGCCAGAGAACTGCACCTCAAACCCAAGGGTTCTGTTCGTCCAGAGCTGAGTATTCTTAAGTTCGAGTGAAGCCGAGTCTGTGTGCAACCTTGTCCAGATTTCATCCTGTCATGTTGCCGGTTGTGAAGTGTTGCATTTGTGTAGTGTAGAAGCAACACGCTTGTGATCGTGGTGCAAGGACGGTGGTGGGATAGAATCAATCCGTTTTGAGTTACGTTACCACCTGCATTCTCCTGCAAAATGTTAGGATCTGTGTGTGGTTGAATTGTTTGTGTGAATGTAGCAGAAAGACATTTATTTTGTATCCTATCAGCTTGTCGTTAGCATTTTGTAATACCTGTAGGTAAAATCAAGTCCTTATTTGATTCTTGACAATCTAGTCTTTCTTTTATCTTAGGTCAAATGATCTGAGTGCACACCCTCTCCGAAGAAAACGTCACCAGTGTTTGTTCCCGTTAAAGTGCAGCTTCGAGCTTGTTTTGTAATGAGTGTCAATAAATATTAGTAGCACTCAAATGCGGTGTTACGTGTGTTGACTAAACTTTGCTGAATTAAGTTCCTAAGCCCTTTTGAAGGGGGCGAATCCTATGAGTGTGTGCCTTCACTAGCATCATGCTTTTATGTTGCCCACCGGGAGAGGAACAAGCCGTGGTTGATTCCTCTTGTTCCATAAAAGCCAAAATGTTTGGAGGACAGCTTGACCTGCTGCTTCCTTTTCCTTCTGCTGCTAATTGGTGTGGATTTGCCTTTACTTATAAGTCATGGCTTTCTGTTTCCCTTGGTTTCTCGAAACCAGTAATCCCAAGAGGCAGCTTGAAGAAGAGCCATGAAAGGTGATGGGCAAAGAATAGTCCTCAGCCGGAAGAGCGTCTTAAAATAAGGGATGGGCAAGTCACAAGAAGGAATGGTCAACAGTGTTCCAAGCCACAGAGAGGTTAAAGGAGATTCTTCTTTTAAGTTGAAAGTGTTCATTGGGATTGGCAACAGGGAGGTCATCAGTGAATAGGGCAGAAATCTTCCTTTGGTGAGGGATGTGTGGGAGGTCAGTGGGAAATAGTGGAAGCTGTTGAAGAGATGGACGTTGACAGTCAGAGGAGAGATTTGGGCCAGAGATAACATAAGAAATCCATCCATTTTTTTCAGGTTCCATGGAAACCAGGGGCCTGGACTCAGTGGCAAGAGGTGGGGGTGGGGAAGTAAAGCGAAGAAGTAGGCATAGGGCCTAGCATTGAACATTCAAATCAGTATGCAGGTAAAGTGATTGACAATGACAAAGGCAGTGAGAGAGAGGGAGGAAGAGGAGGGACTTACCAGCAGGGTTAGAAGCTCTGGGAAGGCCAGAAAACAAAGCCAATGGAGTCAATGACTTCAAATGACCAGTAACATTGGAGAACAGAACAGAAGCCAGACTAAGTTGAAGAATTAGTGGGAGATGGGGAAATGGGAATGTATTAGTCTGGGTACTTTAGAGAAACAAGTCCACAGAAACTCATCTATAAGAGAGAGTTTTATATAAAGGTTAAGTGAGCATCAAGAAAACATCCCAACCCAGTGCTGCCCAAGCCCACAAGTCCAACATTAACCCATATGTCCGACACCAATCCACAAAGTCCTCCTGCATCTTACA